AGATAACACAAATTTGGTGACAAGTGGGGCTGACAGCCCGTAGCCCCCCTACAGCGTCATTTCATGTTTCAAATTTGATTGGCTATCTGTCGAAGCCAACACTAGCTTGGAATTGACTGCTCGGCAAGAATAGGGAAGACTTTCTTAGCGACCGCCAGCGAACTTGAGAAAATTAATGCAATGAATGAACCCTTAATTTGGAGGAAGAATTCAACTTTTTTCAAATGTGCAGCATTGAATGACGTTTTGAAACCATTACAGAGCGAGAGAAAGAGCGAGAAAGGGGAAGAGAAGTTAAACTATTTCACACACTTTTTCTGTAAGATATTAATAATAAGACCTGGCCAGTCTGTCATCTTGATTCCCCACCATATTCTTTAAATATAAAAACGCCACTGCAAAGCTGTGATCTCCACTTGTATGTGTGTGTGTGTGTGTGTGTGTGTGTGTATACATGTAAAGTACTGCCTGAATCTGCAGTTCCTTAAATGGCACTTTAAGGAAAGTATCAATACATTTTTTGTAACAAGAATTGTTAATGTCTCGGTGTTTAACTTCACTTGTTTTAGTTTGTGAAATACTACTGTGAAGGAATAATAAAATACATATTTCTTAAATAGTAATGAACTTCATGCCTCACCACGTATTTGCTTGGGTAACATTTGTCTCAGCCCACTACAGTCAATAGTGGGGGTAACTATCTGCTCATGCTGCTCTTGTATCTGGCCCAGCTGGGTTATATTGCAACATTAGTCAACACTTTAACAGGTCTTTATTCAAAGCTGTTACCAAAGCTACACAGCTTTAGGAGTCTTGCATGTATATATGGAGAAAAATAATTAAATGGGTAATTCCTTGTTTCCCTTGGAACTCAAAGAGAGAAACTCAACTGGCAGCAGATTGCGTGAGCAAACATTTCATCTTTTTTCTATTTCAAGCCTTTTTCAATCAATTTATCACACAGCTGAGGAAAAGGTTGGGTTCACTTGGACTGGAACCATTTAAAAACATCCTCCCAGTTATCCCACACTGGGATAAAAGTCAAGAAAACATTGTGTGTATCTGATGTCCAGAGATTGTTTAAGCCCTTTTAGACATGAGATGACTCAGAATGGAATGGCTTAACTTTCTCAAGTTTAACGACGCCTAGAATTGTCCATATCAAAAACACTGCCAGCTTATATGTACATAAAGCGTCTTTTGAGTCACTGATTTTAATTTGTATTATGTCCTTTTACAACCCAAACAACCAGCAATCATTTCAACTTAACAGTCACATACTTCAACTGGAACATTTCTTTATCTCTGTTGAACACCTCTGGTTTGAGTTTGTGGCTGATTAATTAGGAAATTCCTCCATTGTCTTTATTATTTGGTCTGGAGCTAGAAATGCTTTGGTTTATTTCCTGCATGTAACATTCAAAGGATCACCTTTTCAGACTGATGTTTGAACTTGAACCGGGTCACTTCATGTCTGCTAGTGCTGCTCTTTGAAGCTCTTTCCAGCTTACGCTGATAAAATGTGCAATCAAAATATACAGTCAATCATCATTTAGACACCTGATTTAGTCAGGCCTCTTTTCACTCTTTCCTTCTTTTCTGTTTGTTCTTTGATTTTTACAGTACATAACATGGAAGCATTGCCATTGAAGCGCCTTACAGTTACCAGCACTTATAGAACACCATCGGCCTAAAATGTAACTAGTGGCTGTGATGTTTATAGATGACCTGAAAACATAATTTACATGGAGACAGGAAACATGTCTGTACATGAAAATGTGTCTGATTTGCATTACCTCTTGTTAAGGGTTTGTCAACGTCACAGATGGGCGCTTGCACACCTTTATTTGTGAAGAAGAATGGAGAATGAAGGGATGTCATTTGCATTTTTATTTGCATTATGTATCTAAATTGCACAATTTTTGTATCTGTGTTTGCGCCTCACACTGTGGGCGAAGGAAATACAAACATGACGAACATGTGCACCGATTCCAAATATAGCAGCCATGCAAACTTTATATCTTGGTAGCTGTTTCACCGTACTGAATGCTAAAGGGATAGTTCAACATTTTGGGCAATATAGTGCACTAATTTTCTTGCTCTTTAGATGAGGGGGAGCCAGGATAGTCATATGCCACTGTTTTCAGTCTTTGTGCTAAGCTAACCTAGCTTCATATTTAGTGGACAAATATGAAAGTGGTATCAATCTTCTCATCTAACTCTAGGCAAGAACAAGAATAAGACTGTTTGCACATTTTCAAACTTTTCCTTAACATGGTTAGCACCTGCTCTATTCTTATTCTCGTCCACCATTTGATCCAGACTGAAATATCTCAACAACTAACAAATGGAATATCATAGCATTTTATCAAGACATCTATGGTCCCAACAGCTGAATCCTACTGAATTTAGCAATCCTCCAACTTTTCACCTACCTGATTGGTACCCATCTATCAAGCATCAGTGATATTGGTGACAAGAGGTGCCTGCGAAGAGCTCAAAGGATATTAAAACACGACACCAACCCCAGCCATAGTGTATTCACCCTGTTGTCTGGCAAGAGGTACAGAAGTATCAGCTGCCCTAGCACCAGATTTCAGAGCAGCTTCTTTCCTCAGGCTGTGAGACTCCCGAATTTATCCTCTATCCTCCACATATAATATCGTTTTTTTTATTGAGTGTGTGTGTTTTTCTCATATAGTTAATGCACTTTGTGGCGCAGCCCTGTTGTACAATGACATCTGATGCTTGATATACAAACAGGCTCTTTTTCACTTGGAGTCAACTGGAGTCAACAAGCGATGAGCGGTTCTCGAGACAATGCAAGCAGCCTTCTGAACGACCGCGGTTTGAACAGGCGCCCCACCCGACAACTCAGGGAGCCGGGCATCGGCCTGCTCCGAACGGGAAAACCCTTGTACGTAAACTGCAACAGTCAATTTTAATAGTGGAGGATCAACATGCCAGCGAGGACAAAAATGGCATTTTAGTGATTTTGCAAAGACTCAACAATTAATGGCAAGGAATTCACAAATGTTAGTGTCATTTTATGACTGTGATGCTGTATTGATTATTGGGAATGTACATGAATTAACACAATCTCATGCATAACTGTGTGCACCAGTTCATTAATTAATGTGTGACTAAATTACAACAAAGGCAAAACAGTACAAGGAATAAAGTGAGAGGGGATGGATTTAAGTGAGGATAAAACAAGCTTTTAAATATTTCAAATGTGGCTGAACATTGAGACAAATTAAAAAGAACAGTGGTGTAAAGGGAAGTTGTGAACAACATTTTACAGCTACAGCGGACTAGAAACACAAACACACCCACCTCCACAACATGCCGGTATTTTACAGTGAAATCTTGTAAAGCATTAAGGTTGTGTTGACCATGTTATGTAGTCATGTTTTTATGTTAGACACAGGTTGGTGTATTTGACTATTTGAAGTAACCAGGGCAGAATAAAACTAGCACAAATGCTGAACACAGTCATGTAATACAAACCAAAACAGCTGCTGTGTGAGTAGCATTGTCGGTAACCACAGTATTACTTCAGTACACTGGGGTTGTTGAGGTCTTAGTTTTAAAATGATGTGTGCATGTCAAGAATTCATGCAGATAACATGACATTCCTTTCAAGCTCCTGTGCCTGCACACTAGCAGCATCATCTTACACATACAACTTGAAAGAGGAAAGTGGGGAGATATCGGGAGACAAACATTAGACAAACAGAAATAACAACATACACTGTATATGCTAACAATAGCACAACCCTGCAGAAACACACAAACAAACATGCTGCAACAATCCCCAGAGGATTGCATAACATTTCCTTGGGAATGGTGGGTCATTGTGACCCGTTCACATCAACTCCATCTCCGTTAGACATCATCAGCAGGCCTCTTACAACAGCCATTATGAAACTGTCCGTCACAAAGCTGTGGCAGCGTCGGCATTCATGGTGCGATTTAAAGGTCAGGAAATCTCCCACTCAACACATCTTTAGCGATGCAACAGAAGTATTAAGAGGTGTTAATGTTGCATGTACACATCTGAGCAATTCACAATAAGCTGTCCTGCTACTTTGAAGTACTGGCAATTACATTGGTTTTCCAATTTTTGTGAAATGTAAAGCAACATTGTGCCCAAAATCTGTCTTTTGAGTATCGAGTGGTCATTTCTTAAGGCAAACAGGAGTTAAACATGGTGATGAGGGAAAGGAGCAAAAACATAATAATAATAATTTTAATGACATATTTACCCTCAATCAGAGTTTATTTTCAGGTATCAATCATTGAATTGTCACCACAGTTTCACTAAAAAATGCTGTATTTACAGCCAGCCATGAAGAGCTGTCTGTTATTTGCTGTTTCCTGTACAACGCTCTGTGACCATGCTGATAAAAATGCTCTATAAATAAACTTAACATGACGAGCCCATATCATGCACTTCTTTTATTCCACTCCTGATTCTTTCATTAACAGAGAGGAAGTGCAGAAACATACCAGCACAGTGTCAAAACTACCCTTCTAATACATTGATGTGTCCTTTTAATAATAATAATAATAAAAATACATTTTATTTGTATAGCACTTTAAAAGGTACTCAAAGACACTTTACATGCTAAAAAACGTTAAAGTAATTTTAGTCCTTTGGCAGTTTCTGAGTGTTTGATGATCATGTCTCCTGAAGTTCCTCTTGTAATGATACAAGCTCATACAAGCCCATTATTCGTTGCTTTACGGCCCTGCTTGTGTCAAGTCAGTGGCATCACTTGTTTGTTACAGTGAAACTAGACCAGTAACAAAAAAAGAAACAAAAAAACATTTGCCTTGGCAGCTCGTCTCTGTGTGCTAATAATGAAAGGGACCCCTCGGACGCATTCCTCCACCCTGCGTGGCCCAGCTATGGCAAGAATGTGGGGGTGACTCTTTCTCATTTCTGCATGACCTGGCAGTCCGCTTCTCCTCATAGTCCACCGCTCAGGCCGCTGGAGGCTGCGACACATCGAAGCGCACAGATGATGAGAGGAGTGGCACACTTCACTAAAACTTCCCGGAGTGACGCGCCTGGACGCCCGCTCCTCCCCGTTAAACATCGAGAAGAGAAAAAAGTTCCCCACTCTGACTTTTCATCATCCCGATGTGGCGAGAGTTTGACGCAGAGTCTTTTCAAGAGAGTTCGGTCATGACAGCACTCAACTGTTAGAAAAGAAAACTTTCAATCTTTGTTTTGCCTCGAAGCGTGCGGTACCATGAAGCCCGTGCTGCTCTCCAGCGTCCCTCTGTGGAATCTTCTGGTCTTCAGCGCCGTACTCAAGGTAAGAAAGCTTTCAGACAATTACAATTGTAAGCAGAATTGAAGCAGGTAGCGTTTTGTTCATGGCAACGGGACGCTTTATTTCGATGACGAAGGTCAGTTTTACCACGCAGGTGTGACTGCACCTGTTGCGCAGTTTGCTGCTATGCTGTACTTTACTTAGTCAGGAGCGCAGCTCGGACTTATGTGCAAAGTTGATGTAAAAAAAAAGAATATTGCAACAGATACTAAATAATTTCATCTTATGAACGTTTGACGGCAGACGAGAATGGCTCACTATAAGAAGAATAATGGTCCTTTGAGGGTTTTAATTGCATTCAAAATGTACGTCAGCAAGTGATTAATACTGGAATGGAGAGGTTTAACAATGGTGGGCAGTGTCTTGGAAGACGTAGAGAGCATAAGTCTAACGATGTTGGATCCATTGGTGAAAAATAAAAAGTAGTTTGTAATGATTAAGTGAATTTCGTTATATTTGGAATCTCTTTGTTGGCCAGTTATTTATTCAGGATTGCACAGATCTGACCCGTTCAGTGCGGAGTGTGTTAAAAGGACAGTAATTAGACTGAGGCATCCAGCAGCCACAGACCCACCTGTCCTCTCTCACTGGTCTTTCTGGAGAGAGACAGGGAGATAGAGGGTGAGAGAGGTTGAGAATGTGAGGCATGTGAGGATGTGTGTGGCTAACACAAAGGGGTCAGGAAAGGAATGAGGTGCAGTGTGTTCAGTGTCCCTGTCACTCCTGCAGCCACAACTCTCACCAACAAACCAGTTTATTAGGTACGACTACAGTCTGACTGGTCATTTTGAAGAAAGCATTGAGAACAATATAGACAAGTTCTAATGCAAGTTATTTTGAATACACAGTTGAGGCCTGGTGCTGCCAAATAGCTGATTACAATATTTCAAACCACAAATAATGATGCACTTTATTTTGCCTGTAGCCAAAGTGCATTATCATCAGAAAGCTCTTTTTAGGGATGCTCAGATCCAACTTTTTGTTTCCTAATGCAATCACTTTTACACTAAAATCTAGACCTCACTTAGTGGACAGATTTTGATATTGACAAAGAAGCTGTTTTTAATGTGTATGAGTCACATCACAGCCAATACCCGATCCACTAAATAAGAACAGTATTGGCACCGAAATTGACGCGGGGACTCAGATTGGTGAAAGTTATTTTGTAAATAGTCTAGATAGATTTTCTGGTGGCATTAACAATGTGGAGACTGTCCTTACAAGAAAAAAAGACCAAAAACTCTTTTAGCTGGAGAAATGCAAGCGTCCTTTAATGGTAATGACTGTCGTCTCTCTAAAGTAGAAGTGGTGTTACGTTTTTTTAGCTGCAAAACCTCCAAGTGAGGAGCTGTGGGTGGATATTTATGACAAAAAAATGTAAAATGTTTGACTGTCTCGGGCATGGAGACCACACTTCGAGTAACTTCTCCTTCCAACGGTCAACCATGGCTTTCTATTCAACCACAATATTTGCCACCTTAAAGAGACAGTTCACCCCAAAATCAAAAATATATATTTTTTCCTCTTAACTGTAATACTATTTATCCATTTAGTTCATTCACAGACCTTGTTGTAAGAAGTTTCATCTTGAAAAACTGGGTCGTGATTTCTGGGAAGAGACATTGTTGTTGAGTTTTCAAAATGTATTTTTTTGCCAGTTTGCCACAACAAGCCGATTACATTGTAAAGAAGGCAGACTCTCTCCTGCTGATATCTCTATAAGTAGCTCACACCAAAACAATCTAGAATGATAAATAGCTATACAGGTAAGATGAAATAATATGTATTTTAGATTTTGGGGTGAACTGTCCCTTTAACCATGAACTGCACCACAGAAGCAAATTTAATTCTCCATTCTTTATTGTAGCAAAACTTGGCACTATTAATAATTTAGTTATGCAGATTTGGGGCTCAAAGTCAAATTTAGTTTAATTGTAAGTGCAAAAAATGTTTGTCCTGTACACGAACAAGACACACGGCGGGCCTACGTGCGTGAGTTTGATCCTATATTGGTTTGTTCTGTTCAGGTTAGATTAAACTATAAAATACTCATGCACTAATTCTAGAATACAATCCAATTTGAAGGTTTGAAATTATTATTTATTTAGCATGAGAGTTCATTCTTTAACAACAATTAATTCAAGACCACTTGACAGAATATTCACGATGAAGACAGGGAAGTTGGAAGCTCCAGAAAAAGCGGTTTAGAATCCCTGAGTCAGGATTTGTTTGTCTAATCACCTGGTGTGACAACTGGTTTAAATGTGGAAGTAAATGTGCAATGGCTCCACAACTTATACGATGAGTTGAGCAGAGATGAACACAGGTGACACGATACATGCAAATGTGAACCTGCCACCACTACAGCTGGTTTTAATACTGTAAAGAGTGAGGCAAGGTCACAGACTCTTGTGTTGGTTTATATCAGATAACTGTAACCACAACCTTCAGTATTATAGATCATTTTTTATGTTTTGTACAATATGACAACACATTTTCAGAGGCGATTGATAAATGTTGTAAGACGTTTTTTCACTGTAAATTGAAGATCACTGAGCCTGAAGTTGTGGTCAGAAGTTGTTAAGTTAAGAGACATGACAGTCAGGACTTTCTCGTTTAGGGACAAAACATGCTGCTTTTTCAGCATCTTGTCTTTTGATGAAATCAGAGATTAGAGGCCCGATTATCTCCTCTGTAGCTTCTGAACACTTGAAATCAGCCCTCCAGGATATTATTCAAGTGTGGTCTGCTTCTAGTGAAAAACATATGATTGTTTTCTTAATCTTCTCTTTTCCTTAAGTAATTTCCCCCTTTCCTCCTCCTTGCTTTGTATTTCTCTCATTTCTGCTTCCTTCACTGCAGTTCTCTTGCTCTTCTAATGTTTTCTCCTCTTGCAGCGTTTGTGTGTTGACAACTGTCTTTGGTGGTCTCATGTTAACATACTGTACTGGTTCCGAGGGTCTGTCCGCTCAGAACTTAAGATGTGACTGTTGTGATGGGGCGTTACACATTTGTGCCCCTCTTAGGTCATGGAAACTAGTCAGGAAGGATGAGTTGTCGATGATAACTTCATAATATATCATATGTAATACTAGAGCAATTCAGGTACAACAGCATGTCTTTGCTTTCAAAAACAATATGTGTATATTTATCATCATTCGGATTATTCTCAGTAGTCTAGAATGTATCAGATGTTAAATTCAGTTTAGTCAGATTAAAGCAAACAAATTAAACGTGGAAACATTGTGGCTAAAAGCACAAAGGAAGTTACAGTAGTAAAAGTGGAACAGCCCTTGCTTCCCTGAAAGGAATTTGTTTGCATAATGACATTTTTCATACAGAACACATTGATAATCCGAGACAAGTAGACGTCACAGTCTATATGTTTACTACCCGTCTAGAGTTCTATTTAGTTTGGATCTTTGCTTTCATTTCAGTTCCCCTTTCGAAAATAATTTAATATTTTGACCTTATCTTTATAAAGTTGCCAGAGAGTGATAAGCTTGTCTACAGCATGATGCTCGTCAAAATACAGGTTACCTGCTGTCTGAAGTCTAATTTTAGTCTGATATTTGTTGTGTGTCCACTCTGTATCTTATTTCTCTCTTTCTCCGTCTGTGGCCTACTGACGGCATGCAGGAATGAGAGAATGGTGACGTTGCTATCAGTGAGAGACATCTTGGAAAAAAGAAACGTGACGTTTCTTACAAGAACTGTCCCGTCTGTTAGCTACGGACTGATGACCACTGTCCCTCTGGCTAGCTGCTATGCTAATGCCTTGCACTAAAACGTGGATGACGTGTGCTGACTTCATGATGTCAACACAAGTATCCCTCTCCAACATGTGCTCTCACTGTATCCTTAGAAAGCTTGCATCCCATTATTGATCTAAAAGGCAAAAGTCACAAGTCAAGTCCTGCTTTGTTGAATGCTGCACCATCCGCCCACTACCAACACCCCTCCGACTGCACCAGGACAGTCCAGTTTCAAATTGACATCTGCAAACATGTTGCTGTTTACCAGGGTTGCGACTGGACGCTTAGCGTGTACAAGATGAATTACAAAGAGTCACAGTTCCCCAGTCCATGTAAATGAGACACAGGCTCCTCTCTCGGGCTCAAAAGCCTTATTGTCAGCAGATAGCTATCATTCTATCAGTGGCCTCTGAGCGAGTCACGGCCAGACAAGGCTGTTGTGGTGGTGGGAAAGTATTATATTTCTCTAGTTTGACTTGTCTCCCTATCACTCGGTCATACTGCCTCTCCAGATGGAGTGCGAGAGTGCTTCAAGTATGTTTTAAAGCCCCATTAGTACAAAACGTCCATATTAAAGATCTGTGGCCTTGTTTTTGTCATTTCCACCTCTATGTGCACCAAAGGCAGTCTGTTAGTTGGTCCACCACTCAAAGTCCAGACTGAAATTGCCATGAACTTTGGTACAGACATTCATGGTCCCCGGGCAATGTATCGTAGTGACCTCCTGACGTTTCTCCTAAACAACTATTTGAAAGCTTGCTCTTGAATTTGATACAGATATTCATGATCCCCTCAGGTTAAACCAGTCATGCTGTCAAAGGTCAGTTTCTTTCACAATTTAAAGTTAGTAATTACACCCTTGAACACAGCACAAAGAAGCCAGTCTGTAATAATACAAAACCCACAGTATGCTTTCTCTGCTCTTCCTTCCCTGCAGACGAGCACACATCACACCCCACGCTCCACTTTAACACATTTCCAACACCGCACTGATCACACTTCTATGATCAGTGTGATGGCCCAGCCCTCCGTGTCCAGAATCTGTGGATGTGGGTCTACGTATGCATTTATGCACATCTTCCTCCTGTTGGCATGGCCTGCAGCATTAGGAGGAAGCTCTGATGGCAAGTGCATTGTACTCAGATGGGTATCTGCAGCCAGCAGTTCTGCGCTCTGTGCAGTGCTGGGAACAGTAAACACCACGTCACTCATTTCCATAGCCTCAGA